TGACAGCGTTTTGTAAGTTATGGATGCTTGTGTGTGCGTGCGTGTGCGTGCGTGTATGTGTGTGTGTGTGTTTGAATGTGTATCTATGTTTCTATGTCTATGTTGTGTTAATAATAATAATGATAGTAAATCTTAATTAAAACCAATGTTAATCATTATCAAGATCTTGTTACGATGCTTGCGGGTGTTCCAATGTTAAGAGAGAATTAGTCTGCAGCAGAAATGACGTCACCGTCAACAACAACAACAGCAATAATGACGTCATCATTAGAGTGGGAGGAGTTAAATATCCTTCAATGTGCCATGCGGCTTGCCAGGTTGGAAAGATGAATAATAAAGATAGACAATAACATAGACAATTAATAAAATATTAGGTAGTTTAATAATTAAAAATCATAGATATATAACACAAAACCATAGATAAATAATTACAAATCATAGATATATGATACAAAACCATAGACTAATAACATTCAAACAGTTAACGTTGACGTGTTCTTGCGTTAACTTGCCAGTAAATTCAGAGAAATGCATGGCCGATAATTGCAGTATTTTTGGTTTGTTCTGGGTTTTTCTGTTTATGGCCACACTAACTTATTCTATGGCGGCCGTTATTGTTATTTTGTTCTTTTTGAGGTTAGTGAAATTTTTTGATCTACGCTATATAAATGATTATTTTTTAAACTATTTTAAAATTTAATTTACATTTTTGAAGAACAATACACGAGGAACATAGAACAATGTCGTTGTCTTTGGCCATCTGGCTCATAATAATTATTGGTATGTATGTTTATGTATGTGTGAATGTTTGTGTGTGTGAATGTACGTGTGTGTGCGCGTGTGTTTATATGTGTGTGTGTGTGCGTGTATGTGTGTGTGTGTGTGTGCGTGTTTCTACGTAAGCACGTACGTGTGTTTAAATTTATGCAACCTTCGTTACTTATAATTAGCAGGTAATATAAGCCTCTCAATGGCGCTAATAGTTTTACGATCTTATGATTCATTTTATGATACAAAGAAAAATTGTTTCAGCATTCGTACCGGGTCGAGCCGTATATCGAGCCATAGGCGAGAGTACATGTATCGAAAAACATACCGACTGTCTCGGCGATTCCTTCTGCTGGCGATACGATAAAGCTCGGTTGCGTTACGTATTCAACGGTTCGAATATCGGTTTTCAATTTGGCGCTTTACTGATATTCATAGCCATTCACGTTCTAGCGATGTACAACAAACTCCGATTTGAATACCGGTTCGTGTGCTACGATAATTACGGTTACGAAGTGGGCGGTGAGGGACCGACATCAACTAACTCATCCCCTGAAAAATCGTCTTCCCCAGCTAACGGATATTCAAACGGGTTTAAGAATAGGGACAGCACTGATCGGCAACATTCAAAACATTATCAACAACAACAACTCGATTGCAGTAACGAAAATTTTGAAGAGAGCCAGGAAGAAAAATTACGTCGTCACCAAATGGCCATCGAGAAGCAATTAGACAAAAGAAACTCCAACGAAATTATCAACAATTATAACAATAATTATGTTACTAGTTATGATAATTATAACGGTGATGATGAAGATCATGACAATAACAACAACAACAACAACAACGATGATTTAGAAAATGCGATTGTTAATGATGATAGCAACCCACACAACGTTCGCTATATTGATTTTTCTGTTCTGTCATCATCTAACAGCAGCTTGTTTAATGGGCAACAACAACATCAGCAACAACATCAACAACAAAACTATGATGATGATAACATTAGCAGACATAGTGATCAACAACAAAATGACTTTCAACAACAACTCCAACAACTTCAACAACAACAACAACAACTTCAACAACAACAACAACAACTTCAACAACAACAACAATTACCACAAATTGACGAATTAATCGTAGATCAACATGACCATATATACGAAACGAGTCACATATTAGGCAATGATAATAACAACAACAACAACAACAACAACAGCAGCAGCAACAACAACAACAATAATAATAACAATAATGATGACGTTTATGATGACAATGATTATGTAGTTTATTTATAAATTAAGTTGATATTATCTTGAATTTCTGCATGTTAATTTTTAAAACTTTGAACACAAATTGGCTTTTAAATGCGATTCTAATTGAGCATTTCTGACTGCAGTTTAGGGAATGTAAATAAATTTTATGAGTTTGGATCTAGAAATAACAAATTATTAACTATTAATTAACTATTAACTTATTAGTGTGTTCATTCATTCATTCATTCATTCATTCATTCATTCATTCATTCATTCATTCATTCATTCATTCGTTCGTTCGTTCGTTCGTTCATTCATTCATTCGTTCGTATGTTTTTAATTTATTATTACTCTCGAAAGAATAGGAGATTCTCTTCCATTAAAACATTATAACAACAACCACTTAATTTATTTAAAGTACTGTGATATATATATTATCATTCTCTCTCTCTCTCTCTCTCTCTCTCTCTCTCTCTCTCTCTCTCTCTCTTTCTCTGTCTGTCTCTTTCTTTCCGTTCCGTCTCAATATCATCTTATGTATAAACCTAAAAAGCTTGTATCAAATTGATTGCACATACATGTGTGTCTTCGTAATATTACTAACAATTTATATAATATATCTATATCCATTCATCTATATATATGTTTATATATTATATTATATATGTGTGTGCGTGCGTGTGTGTGTTTTTAATTGTGTATACGTTAAATATTTTTATGTTCTTATACACTCATTACATTTATTTTGCCTGCCTTCTGAATTTTTTTTTAAATGAAAAAAAAGGTACGAAGCGATCGTTCGATGCTTGCTAGCCAGGGTTCTAAAAACAATAATAATACTAATAATAATAATAACAAAAATAATAACAATCGAAGTTCATAGTCGTGAACAATAGGAATAACAATAAAGCAAGACGCGAACGCACATACGTTCGTCCACATACCAGTATCAAAACCTCGAAATAATATTTTTATACATAAGTATTATGATTAATATAAATAATAATAATCATTAATAATGACGATAATAATAAATAAAAATAATAATCGATAATAATAATAATAAAAACTAGCGTTTTGTTTTGGTGAGTCATACTGGAGGCATAAGGTTGTAGCATTAGGCTGCTTCTCTTCTTTTATTTTTATTTTTACTTTTCATATTATTATTGTTATTGTTGTTGTTGTTAATGTTATTATTGTTTGTTGTTGGTATCATCGTAAACATCTGGTCTGCTTAATGTCAAGTTCTTTTTTCAGTTCTGGTTCGTTGTGTTTTTATGGCTAAATTAAATTGAATGCAATAATAATAATCATAACAACAATAACATCAACAAAACACACACACACGCATACAAACACATACATACATACACACACAAACACATACACACACACACATAAATACAAAATTTCCAGACACTTTCTAAAGGTCAAACGTAAAATATTCCGAAAACAAATTCATTAACGGACACGCAAACACACAAAAACGTACGCTAGGTTATACACCAGACAAATTAATATTCATGAGGTTATTCATCACTAATATTTATTATTACTAATAATTATTATAATATGTACGCATATTTATCATAATTTACACAAGCGCTTGTGGAAAATTACCATGTTGCAAAGCTTTTTATTGCTCTGTTCTTGTTGGTTGATTACGCGGTAAAAAATGCTACACACAAGTTGCAAAAATTACGAACAAACTAATTTTAATCATATTAAATATAAGTTAATTGTAACATAAACATAGGAAGTACGTGTGAATATGTATATGTATGTTTGTACGCATGTGTGCATGTATATGTGTACGTATATCGATCTATTTACTTATAATTTTGCGTTTAATATAGTCTACTAAACGCTTTCTCCCTTCTACTCTTTCTCTCTCTCTCTCTCTCTCTCTCTCTCTCTCTCTCTCTCTCTCTCTCTTTCATCATAATGATATTCATGTAGCGTTCATTGATGGAAACCATGTTTATAGTTCATAGTGGCGGGTTATATGGTGCGTACTATCTTTACAAACATGCTTCAGATGAGCGTTGCATCTTGTATGTTTGCATACTGCATGTTGTATGTAGGTATGTATGCATGTGTGTGTATGCATGTGTGTGTATGCATGTGTGTGTATGTATGAATGTATGTATGTGTGCATATGTGTGTGTAGATGTGTGTTTGTGTGTGTATCCACTGAATGAACGTCTATATGAAGGAAAGCTAGGGGGTGTGTATGCAAGCCTGCTACTGAAAATCGGTCTGCAGAGGTTGTTTTAGAGCGTTTTTCGTTCATTTTTGCTCATATATTTGTATAAATAGTTGTGTATATAGTTTGTTTGTTTGTTTGTATGTATTTACACGGTCACATGAAGCCTAAAATAAAATCTTAGAAATAAAGTTACATTGAATTGCTTTCTTGAATGTTCCGTGAGTGTACGTTGCAGATTTCTGTAGAGTTTGGCACAATATTTAAACAATTTTGTAGACATATGCTGGTTTGGTTGATTTGTTGTTGTTGCTGATAAATTAATTAAATGTACCATTTGTTGTTTCATCGTTGCGTAATTAACACATTAACGTTAATTGGACTGTAATTAGTTAACTGTTTCATTAACTATTTTCACTTTTTATACGTAGAATTATTTTACAGTGAGATACGAACGTACGTCGTTTCAATTGAATTTTATAAAAAAAACTGTTGACAATTTTAAGCCCCAAATTAATCAAATGATTAAAAAAGTGAAGTTCATAAGAAACGGAGATAACTTCTACCCCGGATTAACGTACACTGTTTCTCCACTTAGGCACAAGACCCTGGACTCGCTGTTGGACGAACTGACTGACACTACACTTTGTGATAAGCGAATTTTGCCAAAAGGAGTTAGATACCTCTTTACTTATGAAGGATTTGGTCCAATTGAGACTTTAGAAGAGCTGTACGACGGTGAAACGTACATTTGCTCAAGTACCAAAACCATTAACAGTACAAACCGATTAAGACAACATCACCACAATCAGAGTAATTTAAAGTCTACTAAACTCATTTTACTGAATAATTCAAGTAGTCTTAACGACAGTAATAACACTTTTAGTAGTTTTGGTAATAATAATAATGCTTCATCTTTACCATCGTCGCCATTATTTTCGAAGAGACACTGGCGCTGCTGTAAGGGACTCGACCCGGGGTCAAGGGGTCACATAAATGATGATTTGGAGGATGCAAGAGTGAGTTTTTTCACAAATTTTTACAATTTTGAATTAATTTTGAGCATTAATTTAACGAATATTTTTAAGTTGAAGTGATATTTTGGCCTAAAATTTAAAAGAAAATTAGTTGATTTTTTGGTGTTTCTTTGCGTAATAATTTTTTGTTTGCGGTTGAAGAAATAAATAAATAAATTTTAAATTTCATTTTATCGTCTTACCCTTCAAATAAAATAAAAATGAAATAAAATAACAAATAACCTACAAAGGCACAAACAGACACAAAATTTCACTCAGAATTCAAACTAAATCTGTAAAATCTTTTTAGGAATTCATAAAACCCAGATTAATCACTGTAATCCGGAACGGTGCTAGACCCCGGAAATTAGTGAAAGTGCTTCTGAACAAGAAAACAGCGTTAAGCATGGAGCAGGCCCTGAACGAGATCAACACGTCAGTCAAATTAGACTCTGGACCCCTCAAAAAAGTTTACATGGCCAACGGAAAACCGGTATTTTCTAGTTTACACGTGCCATACTAACTTGCTAAGTCTGATGCATTCTAGTTCTGTTATTTGTTTAGTAGTTATTTTAGTTAGTTAGTTTAATTAAAGTTAGGATTAGAATGGTATTTTCAATTCAATAAAATATTAAATTACATGAAAATAAAAATTATTATAAAATTAAAAACAAATCGATTTATTTTTAATGGTAATATATAATAATAATAAATATTTATAATAATAAATAAATAATAATAATAATAGATTGACAAAATAATAATCGATGAAGCATGTCAAAATTATTTGCCAATTCAATGAATAGTTGAGTTATCATTTTATTATTACTATTTGTTTGTTATTATTATTATTATTATTATTATTATTATTATTATTATAGACCAATATGAAACCTGCTCCTATGTGTACATGCGTGTATTTGTAATATTTATTTATATATAAAATTTATTCATTTGTGCTTTTATATAATAATAATATAACATTTTATTATATTTCACTGTTGAAATCAATAAATTAATTATATTATATTTATGTATCTAGGTTTCTTGTCTGAAAGATTTTTTCGGTGAAGAGTCGTTGTTCTTTGCTTACGGTAATGAAAAATTTTCCAAAGATGACCTTGAACTTACAGCATCAGGTTGATAAACTTGTGTGTCTGCGAGTGTCTGTGTGTATGTATGTGTACATATGTGTGTGTGCGTGCGTGCGTGAGTGTGTATGTATATATATATACATGTGCAACCGCTAATGATAATAATAATAATAATGTAAATAATAATAAAATAATAATAATATTTGTACTGAAAGAAATAGTGCAGGCAACATCAGCCAATAAGCAAGCGGCCGGGACGATCAACACAAGCTGGACTCTCTTCAATGGAAAAAGTAAAAACTATTATTTATTATTATTATGAATTATTATTAAGAATTATTATTATGGATTGCTATTATGAATTATAATTATTAATATTATAACTAGGTACTCCTACTGAAGATTCCTCACCTACCAAGCCGCACACATCTGAATCCCAGCCTGATGCTTTTAAAGTATTCCTGTTTCATTCATTCATTCATTCATTAATTCATTCATTCATTCATTCATTCATTCATTCATTCATTCATTCATTCATTCATTCATTCATTCATTCATTCATTCATTTATTCATCCATGCAATCATTCATTCATTTGATATTTCAATAATCCATTAAAGGTGAATGATGTTTCAACTGTAAAGAAAGATAGAGCATCAGTTAAGACGAGTATGTCGAATTGCTGAATGAGTTAATGCATGAATAAATGAGTGAATTATAAATAAATGGATCGATGAATGAATGAATTAATGGATGAATTGATAAATAAATGAATGACTACAATTAGATGATTTTTTCTCAAACTTTTTTTCAAATTTGTAAATAGAATCACGAGTTCCAGATGAACCAGCTGACCTCCGAAGCAATTACAAAATGGCGGAGGTCATAGGTCAGGGAAGGTTTGCTACTGTTAAGAGATGTATTGAACAGTTAGTTAGTTTTCTACTTCTTCTTTGTGTATTTTTGTATTTCTTTGTATGTATGTACGTACATATGTATGTATATGTGTGAGTATCTATTCTATATGTATGCACGTATGTATGCGTTTATGTACATGGGCATACACAAACATACTTACACACACACACACACACACACACGAACATACACTCATGTGCACACGCACACGCACACACACACACACACACACACAAACAAATACACAGGTCGACAAAATGTGAGTGTGCTTTGAAAGTGGTTGACAAGAGAGATGTGACGAAGGAGGAGTTGAGTCTGCTGAAGAATGAAGTGCAGATGATGAAGACCATACGACACGCCAACATCATCGAGTTGTTTCACGATTGGGAGACAGCTTTACACATGTACATCATCATGGAGTTTGCTAATGTTGGTTCTTTTGTTGCCTGTCTCTGTATATTGTACGATCTGCACCTACAACTACAAATATTGTTAATTGTGGTTGGTGGTCGGTGAGGCGGTTGTTTCGCGTGTATTTTATTCACCTGTACGCTCGGCTCTGCTCGTTTAACGCACTCACATTCCAACACACACACACGTACACACACGCACACACACACACGCACGCACACAGAACGGTGACCTTTTTGATCTGATTTCTCTGATGACCTCTTACCCTGAGAGAGAGGCCAGCCGGATGCTGAAGGACATCAGTTGTGGGGTCGTCTACCTCCATTCATTCAATATCGTACATCGGGATATCAAGCCGGAAAATATCCTGGTTGGTCCGGCAATCATTCACTCACTCACTCATTCATTCATTCATTCATTCATTCATTCATTCATTCATTCATTCATTCAGTCAGTCAGTCAGTCATTCACTCAATCTATCTACCAGCCAACCAGCCAGCCAACCAATCAAACCACATTCAGGTGCACCTGCACAAAGACGACACGATCACTTTAAAGATTGGTGACCTAGGCCTGGCCACAACTGTCAGCCAGCCACTGTTCACCGTCTGTGGCACCCCCACTTACGTTGCCCCGGAAGTCATTTCGGAAGTTGGGTGGGTGGGTGGGAGATGTTGGTGGTCATTTGTGGGTGTTTGTATGTGTTTCCATTGTGTGGATTATCTTTGTGTATTTATTTTTTCATATTCTCATTTTACGTTCATTCTTTCCTGCATTCCTTCACTCATTCCTTCATTCATTCCTTCACTCATTTCTTCACTTATTCCTTCACTCATTCATTCATTCATTCATTTCTTCATTTATTCATTCATTCATTCATTCATTCATTCATTCATTCATTCATTCATTCAGTTATGGCTTGGAAGTTGACGTTTGGTCGTTGGGCATACTGACTTACATATTACTCTGTGGCTATCCTCCATTTTCAAGGTTTGTATGTGTGTGTTTTTGTATGTGTGTGTGTGTATGTATGTGTTTGTATGTATGTGTTTGTATGTATGTGTTTGTATGTGTGTGTTTGTATGTATGTGTGTTTGTATGTATGTGTGTGTATGTATGTGTGTTTGTATGTACGTGTGTGTATGTGTTGACGACAACGATGTCACGAACCACACCAGCGACATCGACGACCAGGACGAACTCTTCGATCAGATCCAGTCAGGGAAGTACGAATTCGAGTCGCCATATTGGGATCACGTGACTGAGGAGGCCAAGGTAGTTATGATAATGATAGTGATGATGACGACGATGATGACGATAGTGATGATGATGATGATGACGATGACGTTATTGAGTTGATGTGATGATGGTGATGGTTACGTAATGAATGAATGTAAGAATGGCTCATTGAAGAATGAATTGATGGACGCACAAGTGAAAGTATGGACGAATGAACGAAGAAATGAATGAATGAATGAACGAACGAACGAATGAATGGATGAATGAACGAATGAATGAATGAATCAACCAGGGATTGATAAACGACATGTTGGATATTGATCCGAAGAAAAGATTGACAGCTTCTGATGTGTTTCATCATGATTGGATTTTGGTAGGGTTCACTCGTTTGCTCGTTCGTTCGTTCGTTCATTATTAATTAATTAATTCATTAATTCATTCATTCATTCATTTTCATTCATTCCTTAATTTGTTTACATTAAACAAAACCAACAGAAGCAACAACCGAAACAACAACAACAACAACATGACTGGAACGGCGATACAAAGAAGAATGACGTCATCATCAACAACAACAGCAGCAGCATGCAACAATCGCAGCACATCAGCAACAACAACACCGCAACGACAGCAGATGAAACCGCTCAACAACATCAATTCACCATCATTGACGACGACGATATTGATGACGTCATCGATAAAACAACAGCATCAACAACAACATCAACAACATCATCAACAACATTAATGAATCATTTAAAAAGTGACCTGGTTCGAATCCAATCAGTCCACAGGCTGCCTCAGACTCATTCAGCTCCCGGTGTTCTCGTGAGATCTTTATTCATTCATTCATTCATTCATTCATTCATTCATTCATTCATTCATTCATTCATTCATTCATTCATCCATTCATTCATTCATTCATTCATCCATTCATTCATTCATTCATCCATTCATTCATCCATTCATTCATCCATGCATGCATGCAGAACGGCCTGATGGACAGAAAGTTGAAGTACATAGGATGCAAGAAGCAGATCCACATGTCACCCCGCAAGAAACACCCTCCAATAAGTGAAGAGGGTGATGA